AGCGGAGGAAGCCCAGGGAGGGCCGGGAAACGGCGACGGCTGCAGCAGGAGGGCTGCGGTCTCCCCCCTCCCCGTCCCTGTCCCCCGGGACTGGGGCCAGGGTTATTTATAGCGCCCTGGCGGGCTGGGAGCGGGGTCCTGGCACCCAGCGCCTCCCCAGCCATGGGCCGCAGCCCCATCGCTCCCACCCTGCAGGGTGGGCACCGCTCGGGGGGGTGGGGGGGGTTCCCCTCCTGTAACCTCCCCCAAGCCCCACTGGCCTCAGCCCCGACCCCCCCTCCCCGTCGTCGCGTTCTTCGCCCTGCGCCCCATGGGGACAACACGTGGCCCTGGCCCCAGCCAGGCAGGACAAGGGTGACCCCATGCAAGGAGGGGGAGCACAGTGAGGCCCTGCCGGGAGTGGGAACACACTGGGACCCCCCCAGCGTCCTTGTGTGCCTGCGGCACCCCACTGCAAGGAGCTGCCACCCTGGAGGGGGTGAGGGGGGCAGGAGAGGGGACACCACCAGGGACCCAGCCCCTCTGGGTGGCAGCCACCTCCCTGTCCTGGCCCTGCATCCCCCCGCGGGGGTTTCCGCTGGCACCACAACAGGGGCTTTGTGGGTGCCCCCCTCCCCCCCGGCGCAGCCCACAATGGCAGGTCTGTGCACAGCCCCGCCGGGACGAGGGGCCCCCGCAACCCCTCGTGCGGGGCCGTGGCAGCAGAGTGACCCCCCGGCAGCACCCACAGGACCTTGGCATGGGACCCTCCCCACCCTTGGGGCAGCCGAGGGGCCCCTCCTGCATCTAGAATTTTCCATCTGCGAGAAAAGCCTGATTTTACAGACAGGGACTTGGGGAGCCGCTGCCACCGGGGACTGGAATGTGGGGGGGGGATCCCACCTCGCTCCCAGGTGAGTGGGACCCCTTCAGCACAGGACCCCCACCCCGTGTGCATCCCCCCCCCCAGCCCCTACCTGCTTCCAGAGGAAGGGGTCGGCGGCGTTGCGGTGCCAGGCGATGGTGAGGTGCAGGGCGGAGAGGAGGACTCCGGCCAGCACGGCCGCCCGCATCCGCACCGGCAGCAGCGTGTAGGTGATGTAGATGAAGAAGACGCTCCACCAGACGCCCTCGGCCGCGCTGCGGGGCACGACGGCCACCGTCCCCAGCGCCTGCACCCCGGCCAGCAGCCCCAGCACCACGTAGCTCACCACCCACATGTAGTCCTGGGGGAAGGCGCTGCGGCTGCACAGCACCATCAGGAGCAGGAAAAGAGCCGTGGCACTCGCCAAGGCGGCGGCCGCCGGCACACGCGGGGCGCCGGGCAGGCAGTGGAAGAGCAGCATGACCCCACAGACCAGCACCAGGACCCCCATCAGTACCGTCAGGCTGCTCTGGTTCATCTGGAAGAAGTAGCGCTGGTAAAGCCGCTCCAGTTTGGCCGACTGGAAACGTTTGGAGCGGAAAACCTGGAGCAGCCGCCGCCAGCATTCGCCGGCCGACGGCCGCCCCCCGGCCTCCTTGGGCCCCTTGGCGTCACCGTCCTCCAAGCCCAGGTCCACCGATTTGAGCCCCAGGTCACCCACGGGCCCCTTCTTGCCGTAGTGGTCCTCCTGCCAGGTGCAGCGCAGCCCCCGGGGGGGGGGCCCCCCACCCTGCTCCATCTCAGGGTCCTGCAGGCAGCTCATGTAGCGGGGGCCGCAGAGGGCGGCGCGGGGACGGGGGCCCTTCTTGCCGTTGCGCTCCCCCCATGCCGTCTTCCGCTCATCCACCTTGGGCACCAGGATGCCGCTGAACCACGACATGCTGCAGGCGCCGGGAAGGGGTCAGTGCTCCGTCCCCCACCCCGACACCCCCAGAGGGGATCCCCAGGGGGGTGCGAGGCAGCGTTCTTCCTCGCTGGCAGCGACGGGCCCTCGTGTCCCACCCCGGGGGGACGCAGACCCCGAGCCCCCAACTTTCCCACCAGCCCCATGGCCCCGGCAGGTGCCCGGTGCCGATGTCCAGGTGCCGACGTCCCGGTGTTTTGGCCCCGCCGAGGCCGACCCGAGCCCGTCCTTCCCAGCGCAGTGACCTGCGGCAAAGCTGGAACCGTCCTGGCCCTGTTTGTCTTGAACGGCGGCCAACGGGTTGTACCGGGCACCTCGGCCCCGGGGCACCGGGGACCAGACGGGACGTGGCAGCCGGTCCCAGCCCCGGGGCGAGCGGCGGGAAGGGAAAACGGCCGCCCGGGAAAGGGCCGGCCCCGGCGGCGGCCGCCTCCCCGCCCGCCCGCTCCGGGCACGGCCCGCGGGGAGCCCCGCCGACCCCCCCCCCGCCCGCGCCCCTCCGCCGCCCCCCGGCC